GATAGACAACATACCTAAGCTATTCAGCCTTAATCAGGTTGGCCGTCCTCCAATTTGTCATTGGCTAACTGAGGCTGGTGGCTACTAGGGAGGGGGGGGGGGGCTCCTCCAAGGCATGTACCCCCGTGGCCCCCCCTCGCTCAGAATTTGGGGAAGGCAAAATGAATTTGAAATCGTAAAAAAACCCAGATGAGCGGCCCCTTCAGAAATTTTATGAAGCCCGTATACATTAATGACGGTACCCCCCCCCCCCCCCACAAAGGACTATAATATTGAGTTATGATGAGCATGATGATTTTTTCCCTCAAAAATTCAGAGAAAAAAGTAAATTATGATTTAAGGATGTTAATGTGGTTGCGAGTCCTAGGTAAACATTTTGTTCATTCATCATACAAAGATTATTGCACAAGTCACTTTAATAGAGACATAATCCGCAAAATGTTGATTTTATGGCGGCAAACATCAATAACCGTGACGCAAAATGTAAACATCGCGGAATGAAAAGCAGGTGTTTGTGACGGTCCAAATATGTGAACCATGCAAACATGTCACTTCCAAAATATGCCAATGATTTGAGGGAGAAATAAACATCATTCACGCATACATGAGCAGAATATTCTTGTTTTTGGTAAACGAGAATTCCGATTTTTCGGATATGTTTGGAAGTGCAGCTCTATAGTCTTATGCTGGTCTCCAACTAAATCATACATTTTACATGAAACAATAAGAAACGAAACACGTGTCTTCTAAAATTTAACATTTAAATTAAAAAAAAATACAAGTGAAGCAAATAAAGTAAACAAAGACAAAATTATGAACCATGAAAAAAAACTGAACCATATTATTATCGTTTGTTACTCCTATGATACCCGTGCAATGTTGCCATTGTCTCGGAAATTTACGGTAATTTGAAAATATAAAGACAAACCATTGCGAACTTGAGAATTGACGCTGAAATTATTTATTTTATAATTAGGCCTATCAGCTCCTTTCAAATCCACTCCAACCCACTAATGATCAGTTGCTTAATTTTGGCAATTTTTACTGACACAAAGGGCGTAGGCCTAGATTTTGTACAATTTGAATATTTTCCTATATACCGTGCATGATTTGAGATTTTGAGACAAAGGCTACCTCCGTGTTCAGTTATATACTCGGAGAATGGACGAGGAACTGTAGATTCGCATTCTTGCACGAATCTACCAGTCTATTCTCTGACGTAAACTATTTTTTTTCAAAACAACAAATATTTATTGAAATGAGTCCCATGCATCAATCCCACTTTCCGTGTTTTTGAAAGAGTGTAGATTCGTAAAATTACTCATGCGAACATATCTAGTCAATTTTAAACGAGTGGAAGGTGTCAGTTCATGTCTCACTGCCGAAAACAAGTCAACTCAGTAAGTCATGTCTGATAGCGACAGTCCTGAATTTTTCTTGACATAAAATGCCATCAAATCATCTAGCTCGTCAAGTGATTCAGAAATGGCTTCGCAAGCAGCAAAATTCCTGTTACAATTTTGAGACGAATTATCACTTTTCAATTGTTTTCAATTCTGCCCCATTTCCGCAGTACAATAGTCGTAAATTTACAAAAATCCGGAATCCAGGGTATCTGTGGTTTGTTACGAATCTACAGTTTGTAACTGATTCGTGAAAATAATCTACACTTTTAACAATAGTGTGACGTCACAAAAAATTGTTTAATATACAACGACCAACACAAAAGGGGGGGGGGGGCTCCGTCTAGTAATATCTTTCTTCAAATGGATTTGACGATCCAGTTGTTTTTGCGAGGTACGCGCGAACCGACAGGCGAGCTACGGTACGGCGGAACGGGGCGTTCCTGACCGAATTTCGGTGGCGATTTTCCCCCGAGGACTACGCGACGGACACGGACAAAAATCGGGGTTCTGTAAACAGGAACGGTGGGGAGGAAATCCAAACAGCTGAAAAATCACAACCTTTATGGATATGTTTAGATTACATTTGGCCCGAGTGTGTGTTTGTTGGCCGCCCGTACACGCGAGTGTAGGTCTAGCTATATACTAGAAATATTCCAGTGAGAAGAGATGACAGTTAAGTTGCACATGTTTGGAGGAGTTTCGGCCGTTTGATGAAGCTGAACCTCCGTAAAGCGGTCACTTATGGGAAAGCGGTTGAAGAGATCAGACAGAAAGAGGTGAAAAGGTGATTTTCACTCGTGCGGGTTGTCAATTTGCCATTAAAAGACGAGTTTGTTTAAAACATTTTTTAAAGAAAAACATACCGGGTGAAAGTGAAATAGTGCGTTCTCAATTATTTCAAAAGAATTATTAAATCAGAACCATGAAGCATTATCAGCGATTTTCAGAAAGGAACAAAGTAAAAGTGCAGTCCTTACTGTACAGATCTCCTACACAGGTATTTCAAGACCTCCAACATCTGCCTGCTAATTATGTATAGCGCCCTCTATAGTTTTCTAAGTGTTGGCTCGGTCATGTACCTTTTTTTTTATCGTAATAAGTATAATGCTCTTCGTTATTAAACTGGTATTGTAAAAAGAACAAAACAATAAATGAATAAAAAAATCCCAAAAGAAATTGCAATTTGTTAATGCATGAGTCAAATATTGCCTTTGACATGTGGGTCTTTTTGATGTTTTGCATTACTGCTCTGCATGTAGGCCTATGTTTAGGCCTTGGCCTACTCCCAAGATGACGGTATAGATGGATCGGGCAGGTGATGACTATACACTCACGAAGCTCACTTAACTGGCGAAAGCGCATAGCTATTTCATAGAGCTGGTCCTAGACAGTTAATCCTGGACAATAGCTAGCACAATGCTTTCGCCATTGAAGGAGGCCTCCGTGATAGAATTTATAGCGTGCCCGGATTGGTCTGTATGCTCATGCACTGTTCAGTTCAGTTGCCAGTTCCTTAAAATCAGCGGTCATTCGTCAGCAGATTTTGCAAATGGTCAATGTTACATACCTTCGTGTGGGTTCGTTGCGAACTCCACATCTGGTTTGCGCTGTGCTGATCTATAGCTGTGATACCAACGCCCACCAAACAGTCGTAGACAATCTAGTTTCCTCGTCCTTGGTTCACACCCAACTCGGGTCACAATTACCAACAGGTTAACTGTTCCCTCGCATCGGTGTTGACGTAAAAGAATCTCCATCCCATGCCGGGCAATGCTAGCGAGTTTCCTGTCGGTGTGCGTGCAACTACACGATGTATGTACATGTACATGTACAAGTTTCTTCATGATGTACCGTACACAGGCCAATGAGATTTATCGTGCAACGAGGGCAAGACAAAAACCGTCTTGAACACAAAGAGATTTTTAGGATTCCTAAGTTTTTACCGATCTCCGTTGACAAAAAAATGCACCACAAAATTCCTGAAATTGCTCCCATTTTAAAGACCCTTCCTACGGATGTTCAAAACATCTTAGCACTGCGCAGCTGATATACATGTCTGTGCATGACTGTATGTGACGAGCATAATTCCGAAAGCTAAACATGACTGTGCAATTAAGAACAGTGTAGAATTTATGATGAGAAAATACCTTATTTTGAAATAATAGTGCTCCTTGTTGCTTTTTATTGCAATAGATCTTTCTAATGTTTGTAAGCATTGAGCGCCATTTTGTATGGGCTGCAGCAAGCGCATAAATTGAAGCCGTGGTTGGCAACATATTTTCCAAAAAAAGTCCTCATAGCACCCTCATTACATAAGAAAAATGCATGTTTAGGAATTACTTTGTTGCGTTTGTTGATAATTTGGTATTTTCAACAATCAAATGATATTTGTATAATCATTAATTACAATTCTTTATTTTTGCAGTGCTGGGCCTTCCATAGTTTGGCAACCCGGGGGTGGCAAAATGTGCCAACCACGCTCGGCGATAGTAAGGTCTGTAGGCCTTAGTTTGTGCCAATCCTTACTTTCAATTTTTGTATAAAATGTGGCTTAAAACATCGGAATGTTTAATCACAAATTTTATATTATTCATCAGAGCAGACTGATATTAATTTGTAATGAACTTTTATTTTATTGCATGCTTTCATTGTTACTCAAAAGTTAAAAAAATGAAGAGTTTATACCTCGCATTCAATTTAATATGGCCGACTCGTGACTGAAGTCTATACAATTTAGCTAGTGAGGAAATACAGGGCGAGTCAAAAAAAGCGGAACCCAAACCCCCAAAATTATATTTCATATTTAAAAAAATATGTAGCACCAAAATAATAATGACTGGAAAGTCATAAGCATAAGCTACTTTTAGATGAAAAAAATTACTGAAATTGGTCAATCCATTCAGAGAATATAACCATTTAAACACAATGACCCTAAAACCTGTCTCGTCCAAAAAAAATGCGATTTCAAGAATCGTTGTCAGTCTTCAAACATCACCAGCGATAAAATCTCAGTTTAAACGTTGACAATATTCAACAAAGTCCTTTTGAAGGCCCGTCTTTAAAAAAAAGTAGATTTTATAAATCATATTGTTTGCCTAACCAGGGTTGTTAATAAAGATATTGTGTACTACAGTTGGTGACAGTTGTTGAAACAAGCATTCTGTGTCATTTTCTTTGTTGTTCCAAACAGTCAAAACCACAATACATTTTTCTTTTTAGACTGAGCAATTTCAGTAATTTTTTCATCTAAAAGTAGCGTATGAAATTAGCTTTCCAGTCATTATTATTTTTGGTGATACATATTTTTTTTAAATATGAAATATATTTTTTGGGGTTGGGGTTTCGCTTTTTATGACTCGCCCTGTATTATAAAGCAGTACCGGTGTATGTGATAACGACAAATGAACACTGGACTTTCATAAATACTGTCTGTTTCACAACAAAATGCGAAACGTGCTTGAAAATGTTTCCTTTTGATTTCGGACGCCTAAAATTTGTGTCATATTAAGATGAATGTCAATGCGTGCCAAAAGGGAGGACGAGGCAACATAAATTCGAGACAAATGTGACAAAATAGAATACATCCAGACCTTCTTTTGAGTTTTACTTGACATAAATAATACATTTTTTATTATCTTGCACCAGTGGCCACAAATATACAGTTATTCCGTCCCCACCTAGCAAAGACAGACCAAATAGTCACATGTTAACAGTAATTATCCAATCACAAGTCACCCTTTGAGACACGTGACATTACCTGCCAACCGATAGCCATTCATAAAAACGAACTGACAAAAAATCAAGGCGAAGACGCTGCAGATTTACGTCAGGCCTCGGCCATTTGCGGCCATTTGATTGGCCAAATGCATTTGGTGTGTGCTGTAGAATATAAATTCGGTTGGCTGGCAATCACGTGACGTTTGCTATATTCTGTACAACAATGACGGTGGAACATTGACCAGAAAAAAAATATGTTCTCTTGTACATTACAATGTTTACATTTTGTGAATTTTTTTCTCTTAATTGTACCACAGACGTTGAAACTCATTAAGAATGAACAGAGACTAATTAAAAGTACTGTTAAAATATCAGAAATCCACATTTCACTGTATTCACAAAGAAGTTCTGATGAGCCAAGCTGCTCGGTCGAACAGAAATATTGAAAGCAACTTTTAGAAGGAATGATAATAAAATTATCGAAATGAAACAAAGAAAACATTCATCAGTGCGTTTTTCAAAAACTAAATTAAAGGTGAAAAGAGTGCTTCACACTCTCATTTGGTCCGTTTCAAGGGAATTTTTGAAATAGTTTGCGTCTAGGTCATGTATTTTTTCTCATTAATGGTAACAGACAATCGAAAAATCAGTAATTAAATTGTTTCATTTTTGTACCAAACTTTCCGAGTACCACTTTGTCCTAAAAGAAATAACGGTACGAGTTGTATTATAAATACATAAACAGACAATGTTTGTGACCTTTCTTTAAATACTATGATGCGAGAAAACAAGAATGAAAATTACACAAAATGTCCCAAATGTTGCACCATCTCTTGAATTAAAAGGCAGAAGGTGACGTCATAATTTGGAGAAATCTCTCAAAAATTACTGCTCGTGTTTCGTTTTTCCATTTTTTCCCAATAATTTAAAACTAGAAAATAAATAGTAACACAAACTGAGCCTGTGTAAAGTTTAGGCACCTCAACTGCGTTGAATCGTGAGGTGGGGAACCTCATTCCCCATTGAAACCACATGCACGAGGTTCCCAGTCAGATTCGTTGACAATGTTGACAAACTCTCCACATTTTTTGTCCAAGCTATATGATGTCAATGATTTCGGTAGAGGTAACCTCATGTGGCTCTGAGGTCCAATGACGTGAGGTTAGGCGTGACGTGAGTGTGTTCTGAGGTGCGGCATGTCACAATAATGAAGAGGTCTATTTGTTATGAGCTTTTTTTTCTGATGCCTGCATTAAACTTAGATCTCAGTGTCGACCACAGGCATTTCTCCTGGCCTGGCCAGAAGCTGACGCCTCAGTTTGTTGTGGCAAAAACCTCTCAAGCGCCTCAAAGTTCAGGAGGTTACTGAATTGAGCTTGTGTGTGTGGAACCTCTCATGCATACTGCATACAGGTGCAGCGTGATTGTGAGCAGTTGACTAAAACTGTCTTGCAGATTCGGTGCGATCTACATCCTCCTCATAGACGCACACATCGTCTAGTAAGACTGTCTCTGATAGAGTCTGCCTTTGGGTGAGGCGTTATTGTTCTGTCTGTGAGGGTCACCACACCTCACCCACAAGTTCTTGCGTCATACCCCTGCCGTACCCGTTCAACGGTCCTCCGTGGGGCAGACCGGCCCTCGTGACGATAAAGCGTCCGTCGCTCTGCCGGTAACCCTCCCCGTTGGGCGCCATAGACATGGGCGGCTCCGGACTCGGACTCAGCTCCTTGTGGGGAATGCCGAACTGCTGTGCCCCTTCCGGAGGGAGGCCTCCCATGTTGGGATGCAACGGCTGTTCCAGGCTGGTCAGGGGATTGTGCTGAGAGACTGGGGTGCCCATGTAGCCCAGTGGCTCTCCCTGGTGGTCTGGGGGTGGCTGGTGACCAGGGAAAAAGTCGTAGTAGCCCTGTGGGTAGTACTCGCCCGGTGCTCCATCTGATTGCAAAAACACACCAAACAAAATGAGAAAATAATTATGTGATCATGTGATTCGTCACGTGAACGTTTTGTGGAATCCATTTCCTCAGGTGTTCAATTTTGACAAGATATTCATTGTGTGACATAAATTGGTCAGAATACAGCGTACATTGACCCTCTTCAGCCAACTTTATGTGGTGATGATGATGATCAGGAAAATGTTTGCCGAAATGTTGGGTTAAAATGTATTCAAAAGAAGCTTCTGGCTTTCAGTTCAGCCTTAAAATTTTATTTGATGTTCTTGAATTTGTTTCCATGACGTAATTTCATTGTTTCAATTAACATATTAGTAAAACATTTACTTATTGCGAATATAAAGTCAATTCAATATTCGTAGATCAAATTAATGTCTAAATTACATTATTGGTTGCTCTACCATTACGCAAACAGCCATGTTGATTCCAATTTGATGCAAGCATTAGTGAAGCTATTATACCCCAAACTGTATTTTCCCATCGATAAAGGTTTTCCCGTGCATATAGCGCCTGCTTTCGCAAGGCTGATGTCTGTTTTTAGTGGGTCACAGATGGAACTCCGAGCAGAGAAAAAAATTGCAAGCGGGGACTCGGCGGAGCATGACGGGGGAAAACTCGCGTGCGCACGGTTGTCTTCTCACCCTGCAGCCCCCTCAGGGAGCCGGGGACTCCGCGGTGTTTGGGCATTAGTCCTTGGTTGCATGCATGGAAGCCCCTCGCATCCCCGGGGTTAATCCCCATGGGACAACCCTGGCATGAACTAAAGGGGGCCAGGCACGGACTCAGCCACCCATGGTCCTTCACGGGGAGATATTCTCAAGTGTTCTCTCCCTTATCCGTCCCCGAGTCAACTCGCCCCAGCTTTTCCCCTCTGGGACGTTCCGTGCGTTGGGTTAACACTCTTTTCCAAGGCGCTTATGTCAGTACGAGGCAGATGCCACTGTGGCCCTATGTACTCCGCGGATCTGGCGGCGGTGACCGCCGGGCCGTGACGGGGAAAACGGCGCGGATACACGGCCCCCGTTCTATTCTTCCGGTCTCCGCCAGATGCATCAATCAAACGCCTGGGTGATGGGTATCTTGGAGATTCAAGCTGACAGAACGGGACTAGAGCTTCCGTCGATTACGGGCGGCTAGGCCTGAAGATCGACATTTGAACGCCCAAATTAAACGCTGAACCGCCCCGCTCGAAAAAAACCCGTTATGTGAACAAATGAACAAGTACCTATAGCTTAGTCTGCAAGGTTTAAAAAACAACAACGCGGACTACACAATTTCAAAAGATGGCTTATGTCATAAATGTCCTTAAATATCATCCCTTTAACGCAAAATAACTTTATTTTTTCCTATAAACCACAAAGGGAAATTGACGAGGTACGTTATGTTCATTTTAAAGTTGAACAAAGAAATTGACTTGAGTGGGGTTAGAACCTGTGACCTCCGGCGCTCTACCAACTGAGCTACCCAGCCCTATGCCATTGGCGGTTCCCCATTTTGTCAATGTCTCCGTTCTACTTCTGGGGACGCTAGTCAGAAGCCATAAACCCGTATAGCCTATACCATGTCACGATACGTCCAAAGTCACGATGCTAGCAACGCTAGCAATGCTGCAAACCTGTTAAAAACAACCTCTGTAAACGTAAACACCCTTGAAAAGACCTTACAACATGAAATAATGTGTCCTCGTCACGTGGTTTTTTTTTTTAACATGGCGACGTGATAATGTTTCCAACAAGACGGAGGGATGGTTTTTTTAAGTTTGACGTTTTCCAATTGTGATTCATCATCCGTAGATGACACATCCAACAAAGCAAGCACATCTCTAGTTCTATGCATTTTCTCTTTCTAATTTTAAACAACTTCGAACCCCAATCTATGCACGGTTTATAGGTCTGCTCACGCGAATCGCATAATTCTCCCTCAAGACGGTGTGAAATGAACGTGTGAAATGCTTAGGATACAAAGTGCGTCTGAATACATGAACGCGTGGGAGGGGAAGTTGGTCGAAGTGGCGGCTTGAATTTTGAGAAGCAAAATTAGAGGGGAGAAAAACCCAGAGGTGTGTGTGTGTTGTGCATGGCAGGTTAATGCAGTGTGAAACTGTTTTCGGGTTAGCATTTTTGAAGCATGGAGGTATAGGCGCGGTTGTGAATTGTAGCAATTGGATAGCGCTATGCATGGCGGGTTTGCAGATGTGTCGACTGTAGAGTTGAGAGAAAAAGAAAGGACAACGGACACCTAAAGGGTCACAGACTAATGGTCGAATATCAACGGGACATGAATGAAGTTTAAACTGGAGGCACGAGTCGGGGTTTACGACTCGTTCATATGACACTGACTACAAAAGTGTCATACTCATGCCGTTTTACAAGGAATTCCTTAGGTTTTTTTTCAATTCTGATGTAATTCTTGAATAAAACACGGACATCCAACAAAAATGTCCCAATTAAACTGCTCAATAGCGTGCAGGCTGCGGACACAATGTGTTTCACAAATTCATAGCTGAAAACGAGACATGAGAAAGTCGGCAATCAAACTGAAATTCAAACAGGAAGTAATTTTAAAATCTTCAAAAACTCAGGTTTACTCAACTTTCATTTACCCAAACTTTTCACAGTAAAATTAGCGATTGAAACTCTCTTCAAAATTCCTCGCAATATATTTCAGTTTTTGTACAAGAGAGGCAGATCAGCGATAGAGTGCAGGTCAAGATCGTGGATAAAAAGTGGAACATGTCACGTCATGGAACAAGCTCTGATTTGAACGTTTTTTATCCGTTAATGAGGAACGATTCCTTATATTACACCGCAATCGTCCATCAGGTGTTATTCGTAATATCGACCCCGCGTCACAAATTCTGGGGCCCCACTGCCAACAGAACCTCCGGGGGGCATCTAGGTATTATTTTTCTAGTTGCAACCTGTTACGGTGGAAAGCAAACGGGCCGGACTCGCCAACGATTCGGGGAGACTTTTAATCAACGATATTTTAGCCCCGGGGTGTGAAGGGCACAAAACATTCAACCGCAAGTTCCTACAGCCAACACTGCTGCTGTGGATATTTCAAGACAAAAAAATTATGATTGATTAAAAAAAATGACTTCGCATAAGAAAGTCACGCCGGTAAATTTGATGTGCATTTTAATTTTTTTTATTATATCAGAAACCGGATGAATTAAATACCATCTGTTATACGAGTAAAGACAATTGGTGTCCAACGATGGATAACTATGGGAGTTTTTCTAGCCACAACTGCTGCAGACAAAGCCAAAATAAACCTGCAGATGACATTGGCTATAAAGAGCACCTGGCAAGTTCCCTTTGGAGAAAAAAAATGACAATAGTGCTGTGCATAAATATATCAATATTGCGTTCCGCTTCACATATAAACCACATTGAGTTCTGACGACGGCATTACACACGGAACATTTAGATAATTGATATTAAACGGTCGATTTTGACTGAATTAAGGGGGAAACATATAAGACAGGAACTGGTTAATGGGAAGGATTATCAACACTGGGTGGTTTCCCAGGAATGTTCAGCAGACCGTGGCGTTTTGGAATTGCTTGACTTAAAAAAAGGTAATGGGTTGAATGAAGCGTGTACATGTTTAGTTCTTGATGGATCGGTGTGTGTTGTGGATGTCACGTCATTGAACATGAGCAAGTCCACGAAAGCTGATCAAATTATTTTTCGAATAAGGTGTTTTGAGGCCATGCTTGGGGATATTTTGCTCGGGTGTGGGGGGGGGGGAGGAATAGACTGGCTTAACATGTCAAGGAGGGCTTTGTGTATGAATAAGGGTGGAAAAGTCAGGGTTCCCACAGAAATCTGAAAATCAAATTCCACGACTTTTCCAGGATTTTCCAGGACTAAAATGTGACATTTAAAGCCATTTTGCAGAGAAAAGTTGCTTGGTATTATGATACTGATGAACCGCTGATGTTAGGCTATAACCATTTGTGAGCTTTTGAAAATAAGTTTTAATTAATAATGGCCACCTCCCCCTTTACAGCCATCCTTAAAGCGGCTCATCAAAAATAAGCCTTACACGATTTTGATTTCCATGACTTTTTTTTCCCCCCAGTTTTCCATGACTTTTCCATGACTTCCAGGACAACTTTTTCCCACAGGACTTTCCATGATTTTTCCATGAACGTGGGAACCCTGAAAAGTGATGCAGAATTTAATTGTGAGGAAATTACATTATGACGGTTTTCATTCTGTTTTCTTTTATGAGGGTTGTTCAAAGACTTTACGCCTGCGGGTTTGTTAAAAATCATTCTCACATACCACATTTATATGAAAAATAGCTACTTCAAATTAATTGTGTTTGTATTACGCGTAGAATGCCAATTTTACAACAACTAAATCGAAAGAAACAAAGAGGAATCAGAATTTTTAAAGAATCGTCAAGAAACCTGATTTTTGCCGCTTGAGGCGCGCAATATAGCTTACTCGTTCTCAAGGCTCACTATGTACATGTACATGTATATCGGCACTCACGTACCGTACAACAAACAGGGGCGGCGGGGTTAAGCACCGCCCAGGATGTAACATGGACGGACCAGGGGGACCTACGCCACGGCGGTGGATCAAAGGATTCCTGAGGTTGAGGGCGCGCTAACCCCATAACCCCCATCGGAGAAACAAGAGCCAATGATTCTACCATCCGTTCGGCCTTATGGGTGCATTATGCTAAACGGCTGTTTCCTGAAGAGTCTATTGATTTGTTTTCTAGTTTGATCCTCCAGTGCGTCGATTGACTTCGTCATTTGCCTTCATCTTATGTTTTTTTTGGCAGAGAAATGCTACAATGCACAGAAAAAAAAAACATTAGTTGATTGAGGGCGCTATTTTTGGGTACAACTGTGAAACCTGGTTACAATCTTCAATTTTTTATATTCTTTACATTTTAGACTGGAGGATAGGCCTAGAGTTGCTAAATTGCTTCCATAAACGTGACATTATTGTCTATAGCCTTTTATGCCAAGCATACTATATGCGTATAGGCCTATTTGTAGTTGAGCACGAAGAGGTGAGAGGGGCGTATAACTTTCGACACGCCTACACAAACTTCAGTGTCTATGCCTGTTGCTTTATAATCATCTGGAGTTGACGGCAAGCACAAAGTTGCCTTTTGATTTCCACCGGGTGCAGCGTGCACTTTTACGTGTTGTTGGCACTTCAAGCTTGAAACAAGGCCAACAATGAGCTCATTGACGCTGCCAGGCATTTTTCTTTTTTTAGTTCGGCGGATTTCAGCGAGCACAAAGTGCAGCGGGCACAGAGGACCATAAACGGCCAGCCTGGGCCCGGAGGACAAGCTGTCATCTTTGGCCGGGAATGATTGATAGGGGATTTGGGAAAGTTTTCACGGACTGCTGCGCCGATTCAAAAGTCTCACCAACAGTACTACAGAAATTACAGATATTTATTTCAAGGTGTTTTGAAAAGCGTCAGGTGTTCTTTTATTTTTACCTCCCCCCAGACCCTCGGCCATCTTGAAACGCGCCCTCGTCGTTATAGTACCATAATCACATGTCTTGGTGAAGTTTACACAGTCACACACAGACAAGTTACAGTTTCGGTTATTAAAGACTGATCCAAAGTGGGATTTCGGCTTATTACGGAAATGATGAAAGCAAGGGATTATTTTCGAGTCACTAGTGTTTCTCCTTTTTCCAAAGCTGCTTTATTATGCTTGGTCGACAGAGCTTGGCTGTTTCCGTACAGTGGAGTTCAACCCTGCCAGTCATGGCAGTACATGAATGACAAGCATAGGCCCGCGATCAGAATATTTTGGATGCAGCACTCGACCATATCCACAGCACGCAGATGTCTAGAACGCGCGTTGAATACACAATACTGCATTGATCTCGCTCCCTCAAGGCCGACTTACAACCATCACGGCCCAATCCATTTTTCTCCTACACCTAAACAGTCTGACAAAGTGTATTTTATCATTACTGCCGGTCTTAAATCATACGACCGCTGTTTTTTTGTAATCCTTCCCCAACACGGTCTTTTTCTTCTTTAAGGCCCCGAGGCATAGGATTTGTTATTTTTTATCCATTTTTTGGAGATCTCTTTTCGGCACTTTATGAAAGTTCAATTGTCCGGGGGATCGCAGGCTCGGGGCGCGATCGAGCGTAGCTTTTGACGGGGAACAGAAAGTAACTTTACCGTCACATCACACATGACTGCCTATGCCGCATTTACGGGGTGATAGATCCTAGCTTTTTTTGCGGCAAGTGTTTCTGAATTTCATCCAACAAAGACCAAATACGAACCGACCATAAATCACAAGTCAAACCAAGCAAAGTTGCTGTCGTGCTCCAACAAGCCAGAAATTGCAAGGTCTCCCTTTCTTTACAAAGTGCATTTTCTGTCAAATTTTGTGTCTATTGAATTTCAATCTTTTCAAAATAAGCCTTACACTGCATTGAATAGCTCTTTTCGTGTCTCTCTCAATGCTTTGAGCTGAAACCCCAGTTTACAAGAAAGAACTGAGGTGTGTGGCTTTAAAAAAACACTAACTAAATGCAAAAGCGTACACGTTGATTTACCCATTGGTCATTTTCCCGCGCTTTTTGTTTTGAAATCCTATACTTGCGCATCAAAGCACTGTGGTATTTCAAGGGTCGCTCTTCACAAAGCCTGAAATGTACAAGGTTGACGAACCCTTTAAGTCTCGCATAATAATATGCCGCACAAGAAGGTGTGAGGTTGCAAAGATCGCTCGTCATTATGCCCGAAATGGTACGAGGAGGATAGCCTGCACGACTGACACCACGCCTGACTTGCAGTGGAAATGGCGTCGCGCGCCCGACGGGTCCCTGGGGTAAAGGTGGTTGTGTTAAGACGCTGCCGGGGTGTCGGCCGATCGGAGGTGTTAAGTGAACTTTGGAGGAAGCCAAACGTGCCAGTCTCTGGAGATTAACCACAATGCAACTCGGAAATATCTAAGTACATCACACTTTCTGGCGCAACCAATACCGTAAACTATGATATACTGAGTCAAGCGTACATTATCTTCTTACCAAAGCACATTCATTCGTGTATACACGCTAATTTTCTCTCTAGTGTTTAGTGCATTTCCAACGTTTAAACAGACACATCTTTTCATTATTTGAAATGAATATATGAAATAAACTTATCCCGATTTTTAATTATTATGTGTTTTGACGACTGGACGTGTCTTTATAATAATCAAAATGAAAAATTCAAAACGGAAATCTACGATATAGGCCTAATGCACCATTGCCGTGTGATACGCGCGGTATTTATTTCACCGACATTCTGTGTCATGTATAAGATAACGGAAACATTTTCTGTAAGAGTGACAGTAACAATTCATATGATGCAAAAACTATTATTATGTCACCCCGAGGAACCCCATTTTCATTTCCATATTCAAATTATTTCTTGTACACATTGAACAGTCTGTGTATTACACACAACTGCCCTGGTGGTGACTAGCATTTTGACTCCCTCCCCGGTGACAAATGAGTGTGCGTTCCCCGAATATAAATCCTCACACACACACGGCTGCCTACGGCGGGCTCCGTGCATAATACATAAACATCAGACAGTCGTCGGCATCATTAATAAGCCATGAAGGAGCATTAACCGAGATTTGGTTCCTTCTTCTTTATACGATCAATTTCCAGCGAGCAGTTTTTGATTAATCGGTGCTCCATAGCGCTGTGTGGCGAAGCGGCGTGTTAAAGTAGGAAGATTTGTTTAGATTGTGTCCCGCCTCCTTTTAACAATCGTGATGTCATCATGCAATTAAGCAGCACCATACTTTTTGGTATTTTTTCCCCTTAAAGAAGCTCACAATGAAAACGTCGATTCAAAAAGAATAAATTATTTAGAAAACGTGGATTATTTTTTTTAATCTATTCTCACTAAGCCGAAGAGGTATTGCTCGTATTTTTTTGCTTGCACTATAATTATGTTACAACGGCTGGGAACCAAACATTCTGTGACAGCTATAAAAAAAATATGCGCTCAAAAAATCCGGTAGTAAAATGTTCCGTTTTGATTGGACTACGCTTAATAATCAAGGCAGGCAACTAGTAAAGGATTTCAACATGGCTGTACGCGAATTCGGCGATGACTTGGCAACCATCATTGCATGTAATTAATTTGCAGTCTTAAAACCAATTTGCATCCCTTACCGTGGTCGTAGTTAAACGGCGGGCTGCCCATGACATCCGGGTTGTTTTCTACGTCATACGGCCCTCGGAGTGGGCGCATGCGCCGTGGATTTCGAAAGAAGTGGTGCCGCCTCGCACCCAGGGCACTGAGTTGCTTCATCCGTCTCTCCTTCGACCTGCGATTCTGAAACCAAACCTGATTAAGACAAAAACAAGAAGACACAACATTGTTAACAAAGCTATCTCTGAGAAGGCTGATCCAAGGTGGGCAACGTGACAGATCTAGAGTTCGTAACACATTACCTATATCACAACCAATTAAAAAATACGACGTGTCACTTTCGCATGACCACGCCAGACTGCAGTCTTGGACCATTGCGCACACGTGACGCAGACTCTCGACTGCGCATGCTCTATTTTCAAAAGTTCACGGGAAATTTGACTGCCAATGCCCACTCGCAATCCCAACACATGCAGGTAACGGTTCAAATCCCTTAACCTCGCCATTGTAGAACGCTAGGTCGCTGGTGCAAATCCCAGTAAATATCTTTGCCAACAGACTAGGATTGACCGCAGATTGTGTGTATCTTTAATAAACATGCGCATAACAAATGTGGTTTTGACTGACTACAAAAAAATGCTTCAGTTATTTGTTCGGAACGCGAGGCCAGCTATTTGGCAGTAGCCAAGGAAAAAAGAAACTGTTTTCGGATTTGATTTCAGTTAGAATAAATGACGGTGCCACCCGAGTCAAACCCCAGGCGGGTTCATAGCTGTCGGCAAGGTACAGCCAAACAGAAGAAACCGCCGCAATCGACCGAGGGGAAAAAAGAGAGGAAAGACCGACTTGAGGCGACAACGACAATCGCATCTGGCCGTGCCGGCCTGTCGGGGGAACGATAGGCGAGGCCCGGCCCTGCCACATCGTATCGGCTGAGTCGTACATCATGAGGCATGCATCCCATGTGAATAGGGGGGGGGGGGGGGGTGAGAAACACTTGACCGCCGCTTGGCCTGGTGTGGAGAGATTCTGGGAATGATTTTTACAAAGTGAACCACACGGTCACATTAATTTCATTTCAAGCACTTCTCTCTCGGTCCAGGTTTCAAGCTCAAGTAGAAGTTATTTTGTTTCTGCTAAAGGGGAACTACAAATTACTGTAGATAAAACTGAACCGAAACCCTAGGCCTATACTTTTGCATGATTTTTTTTTGTTAATCAACATTTACAAGTGTATCGGCAGAATGGATAGCCTGTTATAGCATAGAGCAAGGAAATCGAATGGTTCATTTTTAGGATCTATCAAGAATTCATTTTCCACGCCCTAAAAACAAAAATCAAGAGGGCAATTTTTTCAAACTTTAGTTTCTTTTGCTTTAAATTGTTTCAGAATGTTGCATCCTTCTGGCTCGAAATGTCAAACCCTATAGCTTCCTGACACAGAAACTATAAGAACCCTATAATATCAATCTCTGAAGAAGTTCAGGTAGGCCTAGCCCCGGCCCCATGCAGCACCGCCAGACGAGGAATAAATCCAAAGCAATTAAACATCAGAGCACTTTAAACAAGCCCAAGCTATTATTTTAGGTATGACCACCGGCTGGTAGTTTTCTGTTCCCCAACATTATTAATACCGAAAGTGTAGCAAGCCCCTTGGGCCGCGGAACATGGAACAGGCATGCCCAGTTGCAACCCCTGCGGGCCCCAAGTCACCCTTTTACACCCCTATGGGGTCACCCTTTACACCCCTGTGGGGGTCACCCTTTACACCCCACCGGGGGTGGCTGGCCCGATGAGTGACAGGCGGTGGGGGATCAAAGGGAGCCCGGGCGGCTCACTGGGGTACACGGGCACTGACGAGAACCGGTCATGAATATGGACACTTCACACGGGCAACACACACTGGTAACAGTTTCTTGGTGATCTTATTTCGGGTGGATCATTGTACAAGTAGTGCAAACGAACAAGTTGACAGTTGGTTTACACAAATGGTACCGTTTAAGAGGTCCCATTTGAGAACAGAGTCCCGTATAAGAACCGGTGTCGCGTTTGAAAACGAAGGTCCCACATTGGAACCGAAGTCCCAAATGAGACAAAATTTATAGAAGTATAATATTATGGTGTTGTCTGAAAGCTGTGTTTTCTGAAAACTCTGTTATCTGAAAACAGAACAGAAGTGCAAATTGGGAACCATACTGCTATGTGGAAACTGAAATTCTATTTGACATGTATGTAATTGGAAGTGCGGCTGTTGCACGGTTCATTTAGGACTTGGCACATTATCTGGAAATATGAAATGATAAACTAAAGGATCGATTAAGAACGGACAAAATACTTTTTGATCGGTAACTTTGATTTGGGGAAACTGAGTTTCGTTGTGAACTCATTGAAAAGGTTTGGTTTGTTCTATCTGTACAAACTACATGACGAACAAAGGAACCCTAAAAATGATTGAAAATGCTGAAATCCATCAGTCAATCTCAAACCAAACGAAGTGGTCAATAATGGGTCAATTTTATCACGAGAAAAGAAACATCTGTTTGGCTTTGTCTTCCCAAAACCACAGCCTCCTTCTTCCTCTGCATCAAGAATGGCCTTCTGTGTTTGTGAACCAATTTTCTTCTCTCGTATGTAGATCATGCAGGACGCGCGTACACCGGTCTCCCCTCCAAAAATAACTATACCGTCACCTGCACGCCTCGGAACCAGATCACGGAGTCTTACATTAACACCCGCCTCATCACCCCCTTACCCTGAACAAGAGCCCCTTCAAGTCTCCCAACCTTTTTTTCTCTCCACAACACCGGAAGACTGTTCATCGACGCCGTTCGGTCGCCCGTCCGTCCACCGGGCCAACCGAGATACAGGAGCCCCAACGGGGGCTGGCGGAGCGACGCACCAGCCACTATAGATCATCGCCTGCGGGCCGGGCAGGGCCTAGTCTACCGTGGACTAACGCTATTCACCGGCGCGACGGTGCGCCGAGCGCGCGCTCCCCGCTTGCATATATGCGGGGGGAATTTCATTGATTTCTGACGGGGCGAAACACCTGTCCGCGACGGTGCGTGTTTCACGGCGGGACGAGCAGACATGTATCTTGTCCGCTATGTTACAAAGCCAGGCAAGAAGTTCTGGGGTTTGAGTGACATAAATTATTACCTTACAGTGCAATGTCAGGAACAGGATCACAGTGAGCAAGATTTTCTGTATACTTCAGTACCGCTACGTACGGGTAGACGACTGTGATTGAGACCAAATGATTTCGTCATAAACGCATACATTTTAAAATAAAACAATCAAGTATTAAGAAGCTAGAAGGTTTACTACCTATTACACTAGTCTAGCTGCAGAACCCCTGTGGACATCTTTGCAGTAATCTTTGACGTGTTTGTGGTTATATTATTTCAGTAACATGAATACAGAGGGGGTCTGTACTAATGCATTGCATATCCCAGTGGACGAAAAACATGCTCCCAAAAGATGTCACCAATGCAAAGGACCTATTTTTTTTAATTTAGAAAAATTAATAATTTCACTGGTAAACAGCTAGGAGGTAGTCGGGTGTCCAGAATATTTCCTCATGTTCTTGCACAGAATTGAAGGGCAAACCCCAACATTAAATTCATGTCCATGTAAATTGACAAGACATTAAAAAAAAATGTGCCGAGAAACTTGTACAGCTGCAGTGCTGTAACAGCTATGTTACGTTCATGTTTCAATTCCACAAACTTTCTCTCCATTTCTTTCAAGAAGGTTGTATATTTCCCCCAGTTTGTTTGCCGAGACGAAAAAAAACCTCTATAAGCCAAACTTCAGGTCATTGACACGAGGCTAATGAAATCAATACATCATCCCCCGTCCCTGCATTTATTATAGTCTTCACCTCAAGTTCAAACACATCAAAATATTTTCCCCCACTCCGCAGAATCGATTCTCGAAAACTGACTGCCGAGGGAAGGTCGGAGTTAAAACGCGCTGATTTACAGCCGTCCTCGAGAGAGAGACATAAACATGTAATCACCGCACTAATAATCGAATCAAAAGAGTCCGATCTACACATGTAGCAGAGAAAACGCGCCGACTGAAGGCTAATGACCGATACGGGATTCGTTTCTAATTTGAGAGGGACAACGCAAGGGGGAACACACACATACCGACTGCGCTGAGTTAAGTTCCAGCACGGACCGTACGGCCAGGTATGAGATTCAGCGCGCAGAGCGGCTCGGTCGGCGCCGTTTGAGGCCTGCTTTGGCCCCCACCGTCGTAAGTCCGTCGTCTCCGCTGTTCTGACTCCCGCGGTCGTGCTATACTCGCAATTTATGGCCCCGGTACCAAGCCACGAGTAAAGGGTACAAATAAGGGACTAATCTCTCCCCAAGGTACTGTAAGCGGGACCGGGGAGTTTTTTTGAGGACATGTGCCGCGGCCATCAGGGGTCAAGCACTCGCGGTGATTCGGTACAGTTCACCGCCACTCGACAATCCTTCGGCTGTTGTGAGCTGGATATCGCTTCTCAACTTCTTTAACTCACCGACTTGGTTAAGAAAGAGTTATAAATAGCTGTTTTGGTGCAGCAAGGAAAATGGGGGATAACACTTTTTCTCTCTGAGGTTAGGTCGAGTGTGGTCGGTTCAGAGTTTATGGCCAAAACATCTGGCCGAGGTACAAAGTGAATTAACGGGCTTTTATTGGTCGTGTTTGGTCTGATTAGGAAGTAAGTGGTATATAAATGCGCTTATTAAGGGGCTCTTAATTTATGGGCTCGCGAGAAGGGGATAAAAAAAATAAGGACAAGGAGCCAACGTTTATTTGAAAATGTCAGGAGTCTGACTTATGGACTAACGTCGTGAATGGTGAAGAATGAACTATCAACAAAACACGTTGTGTGGCTGTTGGAAGTATAAAGTCGCGATCAAAACCTTTTAGGTTTTATTGACCGGATGTATAGTCCTGAACTTTAAGTTTAAGTCGGGTGCCGTGCCAGGAGAAAACTAAACACCGAACAGGGCACAGAAATACCAATTCAATTTTAGTTGATCATCTGGGTATCAGACCGACAGTGGTTGGCAATGTGCAATTTATCACGGCAAATTTACTCAGATATAGACAAACACACAATACATTCTCCTCCACTGCAGATCTGGCTCCACGCCCCCATATTTTTTGTCAGGCTGCGCCATCATAAATGGCGAGAG